CGGAGGAAAAATTGTCTCATTTGTCTATTAAAACTATAAGGAATGAATATTCCATAAATAACATACCTGATTTTGTTCAATTGTCCTTTGATTGTTTTCATACCTTTTTGGAATAAAAATATTTCACAGTATTTAAGAACTAGCAAATGGAGGGAATGACTGTTATGATTTGGAAAATCTGATATTGTTATCCGGAGTTATGCTATCTTCTGTTGTTGGTTCTGTGTTATGTAAAACTGTTCATGTTTGTTGCTTAATAATACAAAAAGTACTTCTAAATGGCAGCCGTCTGTTAAGAGCGTGTTGTGATCACTATTCGTCTAGAAGAGCATAACAATGACAAAGCACTATAAAAATCTCATGCGTTTATCTATGCGTATTTGTAACAGCGTTGTCAGATAAAGGAAATATATCCTGAATACGGAATAAAACTTCGGTAGTGTTCTAACTAAAATCTTAACTAATGAATCTTGTTAGGAGCTCTTGCTTTTTTTTATAATGACCTTTTCTTTGATTACACATTTTATCATTGATCTTCGTTTTTGGCTTTAAGAATGGATCTTCTATTTATTGAATTTTCTTTTTTAAATACACCCTTTGTACATTTAACGCGTGCTTTGTTTTTGGCATTTGTAAGAAAACAAAGTATCTTTACTGTAGCAATATTTTTTTATATTGATTTCCTTGTTATTTTTCCTAATTTCAAGGAAATTTTTGATGTTATGTTAAGTGTCTTAGCTATTTCTTTTCAATGTTCATGTATATCTGTAATTTTCAGATCATTAAATAATACGTTACACCCAGCTTTGATAGATTTGTCGTAATATTAAAATTTTCCTTTTCCCCTTTTATACATTTGATTTTTAGTATCCTTCAGTTAAAAATTTAATTATACAGCATGAAATGCTTTCCACTTGGGTTTGGACAGTTTAATTTTTGACAAAATCGGCTTGCCATAAAATATCGTAGTTCTACCTGGTAACGGTAACAATCCACCAACTGATAATTCTACCATTGAAGCTTTAAACAGCTACATGTGTACAATCAGAAGTATCCATGCGTGTAACAACATCATCATGATTTTCCTGACTTTATTATGTAAGTTTATGACAATCACATTATAGAATATCATATTGAGAATGTTGTTTGCTCAGGCCAGAAAGGTAGAAACTTTTAACGTAAATGGACTGTTGTTTACGTACCATGAATAACGTGATTTGTCTTTAAAAAGTTTCATTAAACCTTAAATAACATAGAAATGAATGGCAACAGATATTTCGGACTTTTTTTTGGGTAAACTGATTTTAGCAACAGGGACTTCATCTTGAGAGAGAGAGATAGATAGAGAAAGAAAAATAGAGAACTCAAGATCAAAGTATGGATGCTCTGTCATGCACAATTCAATGAAATGGGTTAGGGTTAGGGTTACAGATTCAAAATCGGTATTTTTCGTTCGATTCAAATTATAAATATTTAAATAAAGATATTCCATTTTTACAAAATACAATTCTACCATATTTCAATTAGTCATTTTTCCATAAAAGTTTTCTAATACTTTGTAAAATTGTATTGTTATAGAAATGCAACATAACGTACATATACGACGTTATATGAAGTCACAGTGAAGACTTTTACAAAGTCTTGGGCGGTTTGTTTTCCAAACGCAAGAAAGTCTAATCTTGTGACCGACTTCATGTAATTGAAAATTGAATTTCAATTCAGTTAGTATTTTCATTTAAGGAAAGACATTGGCAAATGTAAATATTGATAAATGAATAGGTCATTATTGTTGGAAAAAAACCAAGGAAACTTCCTGTTTTAAAAAGATTTCAGTAAGCGGAAAAATAACCCGGTTAAGTCGGCAATTGCTTCAAGCAAGGAAATGATTGCAAAAGAAGTACTAAAACAGCTAAGAAGCTAAAAAAATCATCATGCAGATATGATTTCCAGATCTTTCTGACCTTATTTTGTATGTATATGGTGTATACTCATAAAACTATCATTTAAGGTAAGTGTATACTCATAAATCGTTTATTTCTTTTGAGTTCGGTGATTTAGAAAAAATCGACAAGCTTTTGTCACAGTGATTTGTCAATGTATATTTGTCGTCTCAAATTTTGGCATCCCATACACTTTGAAAAATACAGGGAGGGACAAAGACAAAAAAATATCATTACTTTACATTTCCAATGTGTTCGTTTATTCTTTCGTAGACTTCAAATTCCGCAAAAACATAGTCGCCAGCGTGGCACATAGTTAGAGCGTCGGCTCTTAAAATTCATATGATTCAATTAAAAAAGGAGAACTAATTTACTCAATTAGTTGATCTATTTCATTTGTATAATATTTGGCTCACCTGAAGTGAGCTTTTCTTATCAACATTTTTCCGTCGTATGTCGTTGCTGTTGCTGTCGTTGTTGTTGTCGTTGTAAACTTTTCACATTTTCATTTTCCTCTCAAGAACCACTGGGCCAATTTTAACCAAACATACCACAAAGTATCTTTAGGTGGAGGGGATTCAAGTTTGTTCAAATAAAGAAACCAATGTCTCTTCCAATTTTTTTTTACTCATCATTAATTAGTAAAAAAAAAAGTAATGGCATTTTTAAACAATCTTCTCAAGAACCACTGGGATAGGAAAGGCAAATATTTTAAACTCTTCCTCTCAAGAACAGCAAAACCAGGATTGGTCATATTTATATGGAAACAACTCAGTGGGTGTGTATTCAAGTTTGTTGAAATAATGACTTCATTGAAGATGTCAATATCATTTTTGGCTTAATTGGTAAGATTTTTTGTCCCCTATTTTTAATTGGTTAAGGAGCTACATCCTCTCGTCCTTCGAATATGCCACATTTCAGATTAAAACTATCGTGTTTAAATTACCGTGAGTTTACTAGTATCATCGTATTGTTCGTGTACTTTATCGTATCATGGGTGTATTTTATCGTATTGTGGGTGTATTTTATCGTATCGTAGGTGTATCCTATCATTTCGTGTGTGTATCTTACGCAGCACAGTTAAGGTTACAAAAAGGAGGAGGAGCCTAATTTGTATGGGAAAACTTGACTATGACATCATACACAATATACGTTATACAGCATTTCTTTAAAATACCACAAAATGAGTTTATCTGTTAATTTAACCAGTAAGAAATCATCAAACTACATCAAAACTTACTACAGCTTGTTGTTTTGTCGTTAGTTCAATCCTACATAACAAGTTATAAACAAGTCACTGATCGCAATACACTTGTCAATATGACGTCATTTCATACACCGTGACGTAGTTTATATGCAGTGAGAGACAGATTAAGTAATATTTTCTCAACAAAATATGTATTCTCTACTTGAATAAAATATCATTTACAGATATTCTATGGTCCAATAACTGAAATTTAATGTCTTCTTTACTATTTTATTAATATATTTTCAGTACATTACGTATTTAATTGACACTGCCGTATATTTGTATGCAAGGACATCGGAGGGTGATGTTGGGGGGGGGGTCTTAAGAAATCGATCTAGTGCAAGAACATACACTCTATGGATCAACGTAAGCTTTTACATTTCAACTATAGAACTATTATGGTATCTGAAAAGCGCTGCGATCCTGATGAAATATTTTTTAAAAACAATTTAATTATATCAATATTTCATGCCCCTGATCAGGAAAAAATATAGCATTCGGTCATACAAGTATAATTTTAACAATGAAATTGCAGAACTTAGACAGGAACGCAGCACTTTTAAGAAATTACAATGCGTGTTGAAAATATTTATATACTAAACGTGGAAATTTAACTTGGTTATGCCCTTGCACTAGTGACATTCATCTGTAATATCAATGCTTCAAGTCAATGTGCTAAAATCGCGTGACTGCCGCATCACCTGATTAGTCTAAATATAAAATATAATCGTCCTCGATATGTAGTTATTTATCATAATTACAATTATCCGATATAAATAATGTACTAAAAATATTCGCCATCCCGATTACGAATACATTTTTAAATACAAAATTTAGTCGATATTTCCATTGCTCACCTTAACTGTATTGCGTATCGTATTGTGTATCCTGTAAAGAATAACGTTTCGGATACTGTATGTATACAGGAAGCTGATGTTAAAAAAGTTTGAAGTCAACACCTTAACAATAACTTTTAGTTCATACCATTAGCATCATTTCAGGTGGTATATTCAAATAGGAAACATATCTATTGCAGGCCCTGTGGTATCTGATATTTCCTGTTCATTTTTTAGATATATTGAGCCGACATATAAGAAGAAGTAAATATTTTTAATTGATACCACTTCGTCTATATATCCTATTCTTTATTAAAAACACAACATTTGTCTTCCTCTTTTCAAAATTTATGGCTAACCTTAGGTCTCTGCGTTTTGTCAAAAAGCTGTTCACGTTGAAATACAGTGGACTAAATAGATTCTTATCTATTTCGATATTTTTTTTAAATATAAAACTTTCGGTTCGTAGCAAAATCAACAAAACATATTGTCTCTAAACAATCTTTAAACTACACTGTATCAAAACTACAATCATGTTATAAATTGTACCTCTTTGACGACAGTTTATCATTTTAGGTACCTTGGTGTGTATATTTGTATGCATTTTATTTTGCAAACTTTAGCTTGTGTTTTCAATAAACTGAAACTTAAATAATTATGCTTGAGGTAAATTAAAGTAAATAAACCAAAATGGCGCACTTCGGACCGATGCCTATTCCATTATTCTTTCGAGCTTAAGAGGCCAAAGTTGATAAGTCATTTTAAAGAAATGTCATGATTTGATCGATCATCACATACATGTATATATCAATTTAATTTTATTGATCACGTTATTTTATTGTCAAATTCATAAGGGTTTATTTAATAAAAAAAACTACTTTGATTTCTATGTATTATAGGTATCTGTAGGTTGCACATAATATAAATAAAAGAATCATCAACTCTATACAACAGGAATATTCGTTACAGTAAATTATGAATAGAGAGGAAGAAAGGTACTTACCAGTTAATGGTTTGCAGTGTGTTCAGTGTAAGGAGAATTTGGAATTTTACCTTGGTGATCTTTGTAACGAGAACATTTTCCAGTTTAAAATCCCGAAGTGTTCTTTGTGCAGGAGGAGCCTTGAATTCTACTGCAAAACATGTAGACGAGATCTTTGTGTTATTTGTAAGGAGAAACATATTATAGACCTCGATACAAAACATCACGATGTTGTCATCGACCGTTTAAAGTATGGCGACTTCAAAGTACCAGAGTTTTGTGAAAGACACCAAGAGAAGTACTTAGAAAGCTGGTGCTTCACATGTACTTGTCCAACCTGTGCCGAATGTGAACACGTTAATCATAAAATTCTGGATATAATCTCAGCTTATGATATATTCAGAAACGAAAACAATGAAAGAATCGTAGAGATCAGAAGTGAAATTATCCCAAATAATCAAGCCATCATTGCAAGTATCAAATCTGATATTGAAACATGCGTAGAATCAAAATTATCTAACCTCCAGCAGAGCATCAAAAATAGAATCCAGAGATTAAAGAATCTTACTGATATAGTAATGAACGATATCAGTGGATTAAATGTGTTAATGAAATCTAAATTACAAAAACAACATACAAACGTAACCAACACAGAAAAATATATTTTCAACTTGGAGCAGTTATTAGAAAAACCAGTACGATTTCTTTCACATCTAAAGAAAACTCCAATCCCAAGAATTAAAGATATTCCTGGTGTTTCTATAATTTCTCGAAATAGTGAAATGAGCATGGAAGGTGTAATAAAGTTACTAGACGAAGTAGACATCACAGAGACAAAAAAGAGACGAGTAAGAAATATGCATTTGCTGGAACTGATGTATACACCTATTGCAAAGAAGTTTTTAAAAATGAAAGGTGTTCTCGAGGTTTGTCACATATCCTGTTTGACGAACAAACTGATATGGGTTAGCAATCCAAATGGAAATATAATCCTAACAACAGGTTACTATAAATACTTTGTGATAGACACAGTTAGTTGTTCTGGAGGACACTCTGTGACTCCTGAGGGGAACCTGATATATATAGACAGATATCATAACATAAACAAGTCATCTACAGACAACAAAATACAATATACACTAGTAAAGAAACCGGAATCTTTGGAAGCAGAGTGCGTTCACTGTTCACACTCCAATTCAGATCTACTTGTGGGGATGATGAGATATGATAGAAATAAAAACATATACACTGAGGCTAAAGTTATGCGGTATAACAGTACAGGTCAACCAATTCAGACCATCGAACACGATAGCTCTGGTCAGAAATTATATAAACTTCCTAAATACATCACGGAGAACCATAATGGAGATGTTATTGTTTCTGACTTAAACAATGGAGTAGTTGTGACAGATCTTGCTGGAAGACATCGTTTCTCCTACACAGGTCCTCCATCAGGATTAGGACTTTCACCACTTGGAGTTTGTGTAGACGCTCTGTCAAATATCCTGGTGTGTGATGCTAAAAGTAAAAAAATTCAGATGATTGACCAAGACGGTCATTTCTTATCACTGTTCACAAAAATAAACAGGATAAACATATCGGGGGGTCTGGCCTATGACAACAGAAATCACCTTCTCTTGGTAGGAACAACATATTTTTCCAGCAGAGTGAGTGTATATAGACACATACAGAGAAAGGAGAATCTCACAGACGGTCTACACGACTAGCTTATCAAAGGGCGATCAGACCGGTGATCAGATAACTAAATTGTTAGTGCAGCTATATAGAAATTAAGGGTGCCCGGGTTCGAATCCAGACCAATTCTACTGCATTTTTCTCCTCTCCCGTAACAAGTAATTAATACCTGATAAAATGTATAAGATAATGTGCTGGCAAAAAACAAATAATCTGCAGATCATTGTTATTCATTATATAGACGTAACTTGTTAATGTTTTATGTGAGAATAAATATAAACATTGCAGATAGTCAACGTATCTACAAAAGTCTATAAGGTCAGTTTTCTTTGAGTTACTGTTTGCTTTATCAGTTAAAAGTACATTTATTATAGGGTTGAAGACTATGTTACATATGGAGTCTATTTGTATTGTGTCTGTTAGATTATCCTTTTTTTCCTGTCAATGAATCTCTGACATACTTATTGATAAACAGTATTCAAGTTCAGAGTCCATCAAACCAATACAAATCGGGACAGAGTTCAAAAGATCTTTTAACAATACAAGTTTGGAGCATGGCAATTACGGACCTACAGAGCACTAGAGGTGGGATCAGGCATCATTTTGGAGTGAGCATCCCCTGCCGACTAGTCACACCATCCGTGTGCTTTTTGTCTTGTTCGGGACAGCTAATAGAAAATTATCAATCCAGCGTGTACACAATAATATAACAGCTTATTTCGAAAACGTTGGTCTGCATATGGATTAATTGAATATTATATAAGTCATTGTATCGACCATTAAATATAAGAAATGATAAATGTATACGAAAATGTTGATATTTGTGTTTCATATTGCCATAATTGTGACCTCCTATTTTACTTTTTGATATGACACATATTTTGGGTTTCACGGCCATAGCAAAACATAGACTTTGCCATTATAACTATATGGAGGCGGGGGGTATCATTTAGTGGGCTCATTGCTCACAGTACCTCTAGTTGAACTTTTTTTCGACTTTAAATGTTTTCTTGTGTTTCACCATAAATTATACCGGTTTATGTCTGTCAGATTTTTCTATTTTGTAAATTTTTCAATGACATTTAAACGTCAGCTATTCTAATTGCTATAATGTTATTAGATCTAAGTAAAGCGACATATACATGTATTTATGTTATGTATAGAAATTAACTTGTCTTGACAAGATGGTCTTTTTCATAGCTTCCTTAGTTATACTAAATAGATCAGGTTGGAACAGTTTACTCGTCAAAACGACTTATTTATCTCCGCCCCCACTTTAAATATTAATCATTTCTCTATTTAAATAAACAAACCTATTTGCCTTTTGTACAATCGTTGTGCAGAAAAAAATTCAGGAATGAATTTGAAAGCTATCCACATTATACTGTATAACATGAGTTGGCACAAGACGAAGGACCACCTTTAAGCAATCGTTTAACGGTAGCTTAATGGTGTCTTAATGGTGCTTAAAGAAGTTAACTCCTTCAAGCCACCATTAAGGCACCATTAAAAAAAATTCATTCAGCTACCAATTAGCCACCTTTAAGCCAAGATTAATGGTGACTTAATGGTCAAACCTCATTTAACTTTTACGCGTCTTAATTCAAATATTTCATCTAACTTTTTAAGTTATTTCAATGTCATTTACGCAATTTTTTTATGTGACCCACAATTTTGTCACGATTGTCATTTTTATATAACACTTCTTTCAACATGCAAAATCCATTGGCGTCGGAAGCAAATTTAAAGTGGGAGGGCTAGGTGTAAAAAAAAAATTTTATACATTCTCAAAAAACCTGACAAGCAGAAAAAATGTCAATTTCCCAAACACGAAAATCCTATTTCGTGGAGAGGGGGGGGGGGGGGGGTTGTAAATTCGAACTTCAGTTCCAAAATTTTTTTTTTCTATACACCACTTTTACCCCATTTTTCACCTATACTGCCATGTGTCTGTGGAAAGTAGGGGAAGGGGGGGGGGGCTAAACCTGCGAAGCAATGTTCAATATCTATACTAAGTATATGTTTGGAAAAAAGTAGGGGGGGGGGGGCTAAGTCTATACTAAGTATATATTTGGAAAAAAAAGTGGGGGGGGGGGGCTCAGCCCCCCCAGCCCCTCCCGGTTCCGACGCCTATGATTAATCTCGGACACTTTTAATTAAGGTAGCTAATAGCCACAGGGGCTTGCTCCCGGGTTGCTCCCGGTTTCTAATAATTGTTTTTTTAATCAATAACATTATCAATTAAAAATATGTTTTAACTTATAACCGAATATGATTTTTTTTTAAAAAAATCCAATAATTATTACATGCATTGTTGTTATTATTAGCGTACATGATTTTTGTTTTAAAACATTAATAATTACATTATTACATACCAGGGGCAACCCCTGTGAAATATCTTAGTTTTTTACCAACGAAAATCAATTTGTTATAGACCCTTTCACGATAACTGTGGTACTTCTCTTTGGCAGGGCAAAATGATATATTACGGCGAAACATGACGTAAAAGTAATTGTCTTATATACGTCATTTGATTATGTATCACCAAAAATATCGCCAAACGTTATTAATTTACCCTGCAAAAGAGTTTTTCCGCAGTTATCATGAAGGGGCTAAATAAATCTTTATCCATAAACACTTAATATATATATTACTTTTTTTAAAAAGATGATATTTTTATTTCTTGGTTAAAAGCAACATTCCGCCACAGAATTCACAGGAAAGTCATGTTCTCATGAAAAAAATATATGTCTTTTTTGGAGGGGAGGGGCTGGGGCTACAGGTATAAAAATGTTTTGTTTTCAAAGTTTGACTTAATTAAATTACATCATGAACTAGTGCTAATTGTAACGGGGACCGTTACAAATGTTACCCAAACGCTCCCCATGTCCCTTTTCGTGCCTTATTCCTCTAAGACATTTTATCAATATGCTAAGTATCCAAGGATTTCATTTAAGAATATAAAAGTTACAATGATATCAAATATATATCGTTTAACGTTTTGTACATGCATATATATGCAAGATGAATATGGCATGCTGGTTAACCGATTTACATATCTTTCTATCCCACGAATCAAAGAAAAAAATACATATATAAAATTACCATTTTTCAAGCATATGTCATTTTTTAATATATCGATTAACATTTTATTTTTCTACTTATTTTTACCTCGGGCTCAAAGTTGGTTTTATTCCGACGCAAGGCAGGGTTAAAGTCGACTTAGGGTATAACGCTGATTGCTAACCAATCAAAATGAACTTATTAAATAGTAGTTCGATATATGGAAAAGGGATTTTCATTTCTATTCAGAATTTTTTTTATATTTCCTCCCAGGCCATTTTGACAACTCTGGTACCTGTGTCTAGTAAATTTTATATACTTTGTAAATAAATATATAAAGGTTTTTGACCGGAACTATTCATTTTTTTTAATGTATAGGGGGCTACTTTCTGGAGTTTACAAGAGATGTTTAAAAAGGTATTCGTGTCAGCTAATGAGACCAATATTGTTTAACACCTTCTTATTAATATTTTTTCATGAATGCAAATACCTGATTATTTTACGAAGGAGCGTACATGTATATTGATTTTTAATATTCCGAAAATCGCTATTTCTGGGGATTGCGAAATTCTAAAAAAAAATTCAAATAGATTTCAAACGTAAAATAAACAAAGGATGCTTGGTATCAAAATATTATTTCAAATCAGTAAAATTGAATGCTGTCAATGCCATCTGAATTAATAGGCTATAAAAGGCTTATAAACCAACATTGCATGTTCATCTGCACTTTAATTTTAACGACAGGATTTGTAATTTTTTCCGTATAAATTAATAATTTCTATATACTTTGGAAACTCAAATCAAATATTTTAACACACTTTCCTCGAACTCTTTTCTGCAGTTTACCTGAAATTTTATGTGGGTCTGAGGTGTTATTTGAGTTTAACAGCGATTCTCTATCTTGCCATTAATTTGATTTGTTTGGTTGTTGCAAGGGGGGGGGGGTATTTTTATTCTTAACCTATTTAACGTTGGGAGTTGAATCTTGTATCTTACTCAAAAAACTTGAGATTGATTGTGACATTTGGATGAAAGGTCAAGGTCATTAAAAACCACCACCTCTTTAACTTCTATCCTGTCAACCGAAATAAACTTTGAAAGGTGTTTCTAGAAACATGTACATGTACTTCATGTTTCTTTTTACCCTTGGTTCAAAGACAAAGGTTAAGGTCGATTTCAAGTTCATAGGTCAAGGTGATTTTGGTAAATAGCTAATATCAATATTTTATTCAGTTTACTAGTGACATTGACCTAATTTTCAAGGTCAAGGGTCAAAAGATCTGCATGCTACAGTTTGTTGCATGTCTTGGCATTTAGAAGTTCTTAATTCTGCATGAACATCAAAAACTCAAGTATACTGTCGTTTAATGCATTGTGTGCGGACGTATGTGCACGCACGTCCTTGCATTGAATTTTGCTAGTAGCATAGTGTAGGAATCCATTATACTTATTCATATTCTGAATTTCATTCCGTTTCGTTGAGAATTTAGAAAGTTATAGACATTTAAAGTTTCAGCCAATCAGATTGCAGCACACGTGCATGCGCATGCTTTCGTGAAAATTCTTATATATCATGCTGTAGATCTTCATAGTGTATGAATATGTGCGCGCAAAATGACCTTCGTTCCGCACAGCTACATAACATACCTAGTGACCCTAAAAAGGTTCCACCTAGATCGGATGAGTAGTTTACGAGAACACTCGCGGACAAAAAAGTACCGGAGAACAAAGAAGAAAATTCAGAAAAAGTAAGAACAATATGTTCCCAAACTTCGTTTGGGGAACATAATTATTTGAATTAATTCGTTATTTTTCTTAGATATAATGCAGCGGTAATTAAGTATCTGTCAAAATTTGTTCGGTCTTCAATTATTGTTATTTCAAAATCGATTTCAGAAGAACAGCCGATCAGATTAAACATGACATCCGACCAGATTTATACACATTGGGAAACGGGGTAAGATTTACA